CAAAAAGTCATTGTAAACATTTTTTCCCTATTTCCTCTTTCATAATTCTTGCGCATTTTGGTTTGAAAAAATTTCCGTGTTTTTAAAATATAAAAGCATCTTTATTATATAATAAAAAGTGAGAGAAGAGGAGTATTTTACAGGGAAATAAAAAATGAATTTAAGAAGAACAAGAAAGGGAGATTCGAACAGAAGACAAAAGAATAAGGGTAAAGGAAAGGAGAGGAGAGAGATGGATGACGGGGAAGGAGACCGAGGAGAGAAAAGAGTGATGAGAGAGGACCGGGAGAGGAGACAGAGAGAGACGGAGAGAGGAGGAGAGAGGAAAAGAGAGCGAGATGAGAGGAGGGAGAGAACGGAGAGCGACAGAAGTGAGAGAGAGAGGAAGAGAAGGGAGATGAGAGGTCGAGAGAGAGAGGAGAGGAGAGAGAGGATGAGAGAGAGGGAGAGAGACGGGGAGAGAGAGGGGGAGATTAGCGCAAGCGGGGGCGGGCGGGGGAGGTGGGGCGGGAGATGGGAGTGGGCACATAAGGGGGCACATAAGCGTATTTAAATTCTAATGCCAAGTCAGTCGATATTTTACCATAACGATCTCACCAAGAAATTTATAAGACAGCTCTTAATTAATATGAGTGCGAATACCACACTAAGATGTCCAATATTCGGCATTCCTCTCCCTGTCTCGTTTCTGTTTCATTCTCTTTCTTCCCCTTCTTTCTTTCTCTCTCTTCTCTCTTTCTTTCCTCTCTCCTTCCTCCTTCCTCTCTCTCTCCTCCTCCCTCTCTCCTCCTCTCCTTCACCTCCTCTCTCTTCTCTCCCCTCTCCCCCTCTCTCCTCTCTCTCTCTCTCTTCTCCCCCTTTCTCTCCCTTCCTCCCCTTCTCTCCATCCCCCCTCTCTCCCTCTTCCCTCCCTCCCTCCCTCCATCCCTCTCCCTCTCCGTCTTTCTCTCTCTCTCATATGTCTTCGACTAATTTCTTCTTAATCAGTAATTTATATCAATAATCATGAATATACAAATCATGGTGCATGATTCTTAAATATTACCAAGCGCGTAATTACTTTATTATATTTTCTGTTTATCAATTTAGATTTTTTTTCTGCTACAAAATAATTATGCATATATTCCTTTATTCAAATGACAGAGGTAGTAAGAGGAGAGAGAGAGAGAGAGAGAGAGAGAGAGAGAGAGAGAGAGAGAGAGAGAGAGAGAGAGAGAGAGAGAGAGAGAGAGAGAGAGATAGAGAGAGAGAGAAGACAGCAGGCAGGGCAGGAGCAGGCAGGCAGGCAGGGCAGACAGACAGACAGACAGACAGACAGACCAGACAGACAGACAGACAGACAGACAGACAGACAGACAGACAGACAGACAGACCAGACAGACAGACAGACAGACAGGTACAGGGAGAGACAAAACCCTAGCCAGATACACGGACAAACAGAACACCGGACCAAGCAAGACTCAACTAGATCAACAACACCAAGCTAGACCGAACCAGCGAGCGAAACCAGCCAAGACCAACCAAACCAAGCCAGACCGTACCAACCAGACCACCGAAACCAAAGCCAGACCAACCAAGACCACCCGAATCCAAACCAGACAACCAGACCTAAGACACAAGCACAAGCCAACCGTACCCAAACAAGACCAACGAAACCAACCAAGCCACCGATAAACCAACCAAGAACCCACCGAAAACCAACCAAGACCACCCGAAACCAACCGAAACCAAACCAAGACCAAGCCAACATCCCGAACCAGACCGTACAACCAGACCACCCGAAACCAACCAAGGACCACCCGAAACCAACCAAGATCCACCCGAAACCAACCAACCGTACCAACCAAGACCAACCCCAACCAACCAAACAAGACCGACCAAGCCAACCGACAAGAACCGAAACCAACCAAAAAACAACCGAAACCAACCAAGACCAAGCCTAACACCGAAGCCAGACCGTACCACCAAGACCACCCCGACCAAACCACCAAGACCACCCAGAAACCAACCAAAACCAACCGAAACCAACCAAGACCAAGCCAACACCAAGCCAGACCGTACCAACCAAAGACCACCCGAAACCATACCAAGACCACCCGAAACCAACCAAAACCAACCGAAACCAACCAAGACCCAAGCCAACACCAAAGCCAGACCGTACCAACCAAGACCACCCGGAAAACCAACCAGAGACCAACCAAGACCGAAAACCACCGAGGCCCACCCAAGACACCAGCACCAAGACCAACACCAGAGTACCCAAGACCACCCGACACCAACCAAGACCACCCGAAACCAACCAAGACCACCCCGAAACCAACCAAGACCACCCGAAACCAACCAAGACCACCCGAAACCAACCAAGACCACCACGAAACAACCAAGACCAAGCCAACACAAGCCAACCGTACCAACCAAGACCACCCGAAACCAACCAACCAACCAACCAACCGAAACCAACCAAGACCCAAGCCAGACACCAAGCCAGACCGTACCAACCAAGACCACCCGAAACCAACAAAACCCAACCGAAAACCAACCAAACCAAGCCAACACCAAGCCAGACCGTACCAACCAAGACCACCCAAACCAAACCAAGACCAACCCGAAACTAACCAAAACCAACGAAACCCAAGACCAAGCCAACACCAAAGCCAGACCGTATCCAACCCAAGACCACACCGAAACCAACCAAACCACCCGACAAACCAAGCCAACAAAGCCAACCACCACCCAAGAACCAAACCAAACCAAACCACCCGAAACCAAACCAAGACCACCCGAAACCAACCAAACCAAGCCAACACCAAGCCAGACCGTACCAACCAAGACCACCCTAAAACCAACCAAACCAACCGAAACCAACCAAGACAAAGCCAACCCAACCAATACCAACCAAGACCACTCCGAAACCAACCAAATAACCAAACCGAACCAACCAAGACCAAGCACCCAAGCAGACCGTACCCGAACCAAGACCACCCGAAACCAACCAAGACCAACCGAACCCGAGACCACCAACCAAGACCACCCGACCAACCAAGCCAAACCAAGGCCAACAACCAAGCCAAACCGTACCAACCAAGACCACCCGAAACCAACCACCACCCGACCACCCAGAACCAACAAGACCACCCGAAACCAACCAAAACCAACCGAAAACCACCAAGACCAGCCAACACCAAAAAGCCAGACCGACCTAACCAAGACCACCCAACAACCAAGACCCACCCGCCAACACCAAAGACGTAACCCAAAACCAACCAAAACCAACCGAAACCAACCAAGACCTAAGCCACACCAAGCCCAGACCGTACCAACCAAGACCACCCGAAACCAACCAAAACCAACCGAAACCAACCAAGACCAAGCCAACACCAACCAGACCGTACACCAAACCAAACCAAACCGACCAACCAACCAAAACCAACCAGCGAAACAACCAAGACCAAGAAACACCAAAGACAGATCCGTAACCAACCAAGACCACCGAAACCCACAACCAGAACCACCAAACCTAACCAACCAACCAACCACCGAAACCAACCAACCAAACCAAACCAAACCAAGCCAAGACCAAGCCAAACAAGCCAGACCGTACCACCAACCACCCGAAACCCACCAAACCACGAAACCAACCAAGACCAAGCCAACACCAAGCCAGACCGTACCACCAAGACCACCCGAAACCAACCAAGACCAACCGATCCCAAACCCCGAAACCAACCAAGACCAAGCCAACACCAAGCCAGACCGTACCAACCAAGAAACCAACCCGTTGTAACCAAACAACCAAACCAACCCGAAACCGAACCAAAACCCAACCGAACCAACCAAGACCAAGCCAACACCAAGCCAACCGTACCAACCCAACACCCAAACGCAACCAAGACCGACCCGAAAACTAACCAAAACCAAACCGAAACCAACCAAGACAGAGCCAACACCAAGCCGACCCGTACAAACAAGACCACCGAAACCAACCAAGACCACCCGAACACACCAAGACCACCCGAAACCAACCAAGACCAAAGCCAACACCAGCCAGACCGTACCAACAAAGACCACAACCAACCAAAGACCACCCGAAAACCAACCAAAAACCAACGAAACCAACCAAGACCAAAGCCAACAACCAGCCAGACCGTACCCAACCAAGACACCCGAACCAACCAAGACCACCCGAAACCAACCAAAACCACCGAAACCAACCAACGACCAAGCCAACACACAAGCCAGACCGTCCAACCAAGACCACTCCGAAACCGCACCAAGACCACCCGAAAACCAACCCAAGACCAACCTGAAACAACCAAGACCAAAGCCCAACACCAAGCCAGAACGACCAACCAAATGACCACCCAACCAAACCAGACCACCCGAAACCAAAACAAAGAAGACCACCCGACCCCACCAAAGAACCCAAGCCGAAACCAACCAAGACCAAGCCAACACCAAAGCCAGACCGTACCAACCAAGACCACCCAAATCCAAACCCAAGACCACCCTCGAAACGCAACCAAGAACCACCGAAACCAATCCTAAAACAACCACGAACACCAACCAAAGAACCAAGCCCAACACCAAACCAGCCGTAACCAACCAAGACCCACCCAATAACCTAAGCCAGACAACCAAGACCGAACCACGAGCGGAACCCACCAAGACCAAACAACAAAGCCCAGAACCAACCAAGCCACCCAAACCAAGACCAAAAACCCAAGCGCGACCGAGCCAACAACCTAAGCCAGACCGTTCACGAGCGAAACCCAAACCGAAACTCAGCCAACGACGCAACCAAGACCACCCGACACCGACCAGAAGACCCAGAGCACGACCGAGCAGGCAGCCGCCCCGAGCCATTAATTTCCAAAGTTTCCCGAGTGCCGGCCGGGAGTGCCTTAGCCAACGCCGGGACCAGAGTGGGCCTGAGAACCGCCTCGGGGAGAACTATAATAAGGCAGAAGCGGGTGTTTGTCAAGCTGGGTTGGGGGTGAGAA